GGAATAGGAGGCAGAGCAGTGCTGGATTATCCAAATGGTGGACTAGGCCTAAGCTTAGGGCCTGAGAAGAAAGGAGCATCAGAAACATGAGAAACAAAACGTTCTGAAAGAATCTAATGTCGACCAAGACATACTAATGTCCACCTCGGGCTATCACAGGGTTATTGGTACAAGATTCCCTCCCACTGGGCAACCACAGAACTGAACAAAATATGTGATGCAGGTTTTTTCAAGCAAAAGGTGATGTAGGTGTATGATCCTGGAGAGATGGGAAGCACATGGGGTAAGCCTCCCATCCCGCACATTGCTGTGGTGCAGGGAGGTGGGTCCTAAGTGGAAAGGTGTCTCGCTGAGCTAAGGGGGCCGGGGTTGGGTTAGGGGGCTACTGAAGAAGCTGAAAATTGAGAGACAGGTTATTGAAGAAGAGGAAGTTGCCCAGGAATTCAGCATGGTCCTTGGCTGAGGGCTAGGCTGCACAGGTGCAGGGCGAGGCTCTGTGAGGCCCAGCAGAGATGATCTGTGTGGGGCTGAGGGCTGAATGGTGATAACAGAAGTTGTGCAGTTCTGGGAGGTATTGGTGTCTGGCCTGGCCAGAGTGCACAGTCTTTTATGAGCACCTTGGACTTTCAGGTGAGACTCCAGAAAAGACATGATTTAGGAGTCAGGAATATGTCTTACTTTATGGGCTGAGCCCTAAGATTAAAGTCAAAACTAAAATATACCCACTCTAATATAGAATAAAACCAAGGCTGACATGGCCAAAAGGGTATGCCTGTAATCTGTCTACCAGGACAAAAATCAGTACCCTTTAGAAGAAGATAATATAAACCAGACTTCTTAAAATATATCACCCATGATGTACAGCATACAATAAAAAAATTATGAAATGAATTGTGAAAAAGCAGGGAGATTTGACCCCTGATCAAGAAAGACAAACACATAAGAATCAATAGAACAGACTCCAAGATAACCCAAATGTCAGAATTAATGGTCAAGGATGTTAAGTAGCTATTGTAAATATTTTTATGGACTTAAAAGAAAACAAAGTAGAATGAGTAGATAGATGGTTAATTTCAGCAAAGTAATGGAAACTATAGAAGAGAACCTAGTGGAAATTGTAGAATGGAAAAGTAAAATATCTGAAATTAAAATTTAACTGTAGGGGATGAACAGCAAGTTGAAGACTTCAGAAGAAAGGATTAGTAAACCTGAAGTCAAATTAATAGAAATGATCCTACCTAAAGAACAGGAAGAAAATAAGATTTAAAAAGATTAACAAAGCCTCGGTAACCTGTGGGACAATATCAAGCAAGTGAACGTATGTTTAATTGCTGAGGGAGAATGAGGCCAAAAACATGAGGAAACAAAGACCAAAAAAAGCCCAAATTTGGAAACAAAGATCAAGTTATAAATCCAAGAAGCCCAGCAAACCCCAAGCAGGATTGATTGATTGATTGATTGATTTTTTGTCTGGTGTAGTCTTTATTTCAGATATTTATTAAAATGCCATTAGATTATTCTTCAGGATAAGAGCAAAGATCATCCCCTGCAAAAACTTAGGAACTATGTACAGAATTTTACAGAACAGAGGACAACACTTTAGATGAAGCCTGCCTACTGACCAGTGAAGGGTGTTCTGAGTGGAATCAGCAAAGAAAAGGAACTCAGGCAGGGAAGGAAATGAAACTGCAGTTGTCATCAGGGCAAGTCTTGTGATGGTCACAATTGGAAGGTTCGAGTACAGCACAGGGGTTCCATGTGTCTTTATGGCTACACCCCTGGCTAAGGCTCCATTAGGTCAATATCACTCAAATTCCTGGCCAGCCAGACTCCCGTGGCAAAGAGTCCCAAATTGAGGATTAAGTTCTTCCAGAAGTCATTCTTATCGGTAGTGAATTGGTAGATACCCC